GACCGGATTATCAATTCTCTAAGAATCTTAGTTCTTTCCTTACAATTTTAAACATAAGCCAATAATTCTTATGGGAACCAATTTAAAACTACTATTTAATGTTATCTGGACTACACAAAGGGGCAACTGACGGTTCTTCTAGGACTTCACATCCGAAATTATAGTTAATCCCATTGAGAATTTCATTAACTGGGTACTCAAATATTAATTATTGTAAAGGTTCTTTATGATCTGTCTTAATATTTCTCCCACCTTGTGTTATGATGTTTTGAGCTATGGAGAGTTAAGTTATAATAGCCTGACAGTAAGTCATTCTCATTGAGATGGTACTCCTTGATGGTTTTGGAAAATATATAGAATTATAAGAACAACCGATTCACTGGAACAATAACGGCATCTTGCAAAGTTAGGAACATATAAAATTTCATCTAGTTCAGGTGGCAGTCCTTAACAATTGTAGGTAGTTCTTCTTTTTCTTATAAGATTACTTTTGGGTTCTGGTAGTGGGGGTTAAGGTAGACTTCTGTTTTGTGAAACTAGTATCTGCAAGAGTCTTGAAGGCCCAAGATGATCTGAACAATGCAACCTTCTACCCAAGACGTATCGCTTTCATTGTTTGGTGGAAGCAAGGTTTAAGGAAAGAGCGATTCCAAAAGCTGCAAGTTATTCTTTCCATACTTATGTTTCAGTCTTCAACCAATAGCAGGCAAGTCTTCAATTTTATTTACGATAACTTTGGGCTTCATCATTACTTTCTAGTAATGGGGTTGGCTTTATATTTATTTCTAGATATAATTGGAAGTTTTTAGGAGTTAGAAGGATCAACATGATATATTTAAGTGCTCCCTTGTGCGTAAATCCTAAGGCCTATCGCCTTTATTGTCTATTGATGAAATTGAAATCGAAGCAAATATCCGTTTCCAAAGCCGAAAATTGACTGGGTTATTTCTGGCAGACTGACTTCTTTTAGTAGGACTTTTCATTCTGACGATACTACTTGAGAAGCTGCTTCATATATTCCTTAAAAAGATTTTTATCAAATCATTTCTTGCAGTGTGTGTCTTTAAAAACCAATACAAGACTATAAATAAATATAAACAAGCACACAAGTCACGGCTTGTCAAGGAACAGAAAAGAAAGAATCTGTGAAAATAAATTTCATCGCAAACAAGACTAAAATTATAAAAAATTGCCCTATGCAACAAACTCCAAAAACTGACATGCCCAGTCAAGTCACCAACCCGAGCATAGCCAAATCGCGCCAACGAGCGTTGATCTGAGTCGTGGAGTGGGCGTAGGGTGGCCATGGCGTTGGCAGGTTGGCAGGACATGCTGGCTGGTCGCGGCAAAAGACGGACAAAGCGCTGGCATTGCGGCCATGGTGCGGTCGGTTGGCTGCATTAATAGCGACTTCACTGGCCTCACGTACACACACACACACACACATCCGCAGCGACGTATTCCGAAACGGGACAGCAGCAGCGACAGCGTAGAATGGCGTAGAGGTGACCTAGGCGGCATCAGCAGCCGGAGCGTTGGCAACACAAACACAAGGGTGCGTTTTCAAATCACAACGGGACTTTTACATTATATGCTGAGCTCGGCATTGTGCACAATATTTACATATATATGTGTATACATACATATGTACATCTATACGTACACTTAACGGTAGTGCATAAGTGCTATGCGGCAGCCAACAACGCAGGCGGATGAGTCGTTCGGTATTGGTGCTAATATGGTGGCTGTAGCGAGTCAGTGCGCCCAGCGGCGTCAATGGACCAAAATAATGCACAACACGACGAGGGTGGGCGGGGTGACGTGACATGGCGTTAGTGAAAGCGGTGGCGCGTGTTCGGTGCGCTTGTTTTGTGGGTTGCAGTTTCAAATGCGAATAAGTTTTTAAGTGGTCGCTCATGCAGTAGCGTCACTGTGTGGAGCGGTGAGGAAGCCGCTGTTGCTGCTAAGGTGTGACTGAAGCGGCAGTGGCTGCTGACTGTATTCCTGCCTGGGACGGTTGATCGGTCTCAAACTGCAGCTCTTTGGTTCATTCGTCAGCCCCGGCTGGCGACACGACGCGCCGCGTGGTGGTGTGCCGTTGATTGGGCGTTGGGTAGGTAGTTGTGAGTGCGCGCGGTGGCGTCGTTTCGTGGGGTGGGCTTTGGCTGCTGCGGTGCGGATTTTTGTGCTGTATTTCAAACTCTTGTTACTAGCTGCCATTATGATTTTTAAAAGCCATTTCAGCGCGCATTTTTTGCTTGCCTCTTGTTTTTATTTTGCCGTTTTTGTCGTTGTTGTTTTTTTATTCGCTTTTTATTTGCATCTCATTGAAAACTGTGAATTTTTATAATAAGCACTTTTTGTGTACTGCTGCCGCTGCTGCTGCAGATTATTGTCGATGATTGTGATTGCGTTTTATGTACTTTTCCTAGTTGATTTTTTCCCGCTGCCGCTCCCTCTCGCCGTTCTGCTCTTTTGCCATTTTGAATTGCTTTGTTATAATGGCTGAATTCTGGCCGGCAAATGAATGTAGGCGGAATTTGTTGCTGTAACGAGAAAACCATATTAAAATTAAATGCAAAAAATGTCAATCCAAAATCGCTTTAAGCGCTCAATAGTCTTTTGATTCGTAATTAACCATATAATATGATATTTTTTCATGCTGCAGCCGCTCGTTATTTCAATAATAATAAGAAACAGTTATAATAAATAGTATGAAAGTCAAAATACTGCTGTTTATAAAAAAATAATACGTTTGAATTAAAACAATTTTATGAGATATGCATAATGGCTAAATATATAACGTTGGTATCTTCACCTTGAGCACGAAATTTGTAACATTCCGAAGAAAACTGCGTAGATCCTGTATACTTTATACATATGTAAATATAAATCAGAGAAGCTTTTCTTTTAGTGGAACCGCCAATATTGGGTTCCTATACAAGACATTTCCAAAGTAAATAGGACTTTTTGAATCTAGCGCCCTCGGTGGCGCCATCTATATGTCGACTTGTGCGTTAGAATCTGCCAAGTTTATCGATTGTCCAGTGAGAATTTCATGCCATTTCATTGATTGGAAATAAAGTTATTGCGTTTTAAGTGTCAGTATGTTTGTGTTATCGGTGCGAAAATGAGCTTTGAACAAAGAGCCAATTAATGTCTAATTATTATTATTAAATCATGTTTTAGAATTGGTAACACTTTTACCGAAACGTTTCAATTGATGAAAAAAGTTTATGATGATGATTGCCTATCCCGTGGCAGAGTGCACGACTGAGGTTTCAACGTTTTCAAAGTGGTCGTGAGCACATTAATGACGTTCAACTTGTGGGCCAATTAACATCCGTGATCACCGGAAATTCCGTCGAAAATGTGCGTGAATTCACTAAAAATCAGCCGAAATCATCATTGAAATTCATGGAAATGGACATTAAACCTCTTCAAAACATCGATTTATCGCATTTTGACCGAACATTTGTGCTTACGAAAGGTGTGTGCACGGTTTGTTCCACACAAATTGACTAGCGACCAAAAATTGCTCAGAATCGAAAGACGATTATTTCACCAAAAATCATATTTTTATCATTATCCGGTGTCACCGTTACATTTCGTGCGGAATCCCATTCCTCAACATATTTTTTTTGCTAGGTTGGTATGACACCTTTGCCTAAAGCCACATCAAGATTATCACCAGTGTTCAGTTTTAAGCTTGCTTTTCGGAAGTGTTATTATTCAATTACCCGTTTTAAGAACAACAAAGTGGTGAGGGCTGATGGATAAGAAGGAGCATGCATAAGCTTCTTAGGAAAATATGGTCGGATGATAGCATGCCCGACGATTACAATGTAAGTGTGCTCTGCCCAATTTACAAAAAGGGAAACCCCACAATCTGCGCCAACTATCGTAGGATAAGTGTCCTCAATATCGCATATCAGGTTCTCTCGAGCGTACTGTGTGAAAGATTGAAGCCCATCGTCAACAAACTGTTTGGCTTTAGGCCTGAAAAATTAGCAACCAGAACATATGTATATTCACCATGTACCAAATCTTGGAAAAGACCCGCGAAAGGAGAATCGACACACACCACCTCTTCGTCGATTTCAAAGCTGCTTTCGACAGCACGATAAGGAGCTGAGTTCATGCCGCGTTGTCTGAATTTGGTTGTTGTTGTTCTTTTCTGGATGAAATTGCAGATCTTGAACCTCTTCAGGTTTCTCTTCGTACCAAATGCGGCAATTTTGCTTGTTAACATACCCAAAGAGCCAGAAATGGGCCTCATCGCTGAACGAATTTGGCTCGAAAACGTCGGATCATCTTGGAACTTTTCAAGAGCACATACAATGAGTTGCGAACGACGCCGAATCGATCCTCCATGGTCTTCGTGTACACTCTCAGTTACGGCTGCAGCATTTACATCATTACGTGCTGGATGTGGTCTATTCGGTCGAATATTATCTAATGGTGTTTCTACGCTCAGCAGGCCAATTATGTTAATTGAAAATAGGGCATCTACTTGGATCACCCGTTATAACATATACCAGATATACAAATTGACCTATCCAAATCAAATCCCTATATAGTAAAATTTTTAAATTCCACACGGTACCTTAAGCTGTACAGGCATCCTTTGCACCCAATGAACCAGCTCAAAAGATTTAGTCATAACCGATCAACCCCTTTGCTCCATCACAAGGCGCACTGCGGCGTAATTTCTGAACTATGACATGTCATGGAACAGTGCTACGACTGTGATATCGTAATTTTAAACACACTGGACAAGAATACTCGATCCACTAGTATTATACTCAATAAATAATGATCATATAGTGAATAATACTATATGGGCTAAAATCAACCCAATAAATTGATATCCTCATAATCAGTTTCTTTTTTGCCAAAATGTAAATTAAAAATGACTCTAAAAAGCCCTTAGTTTCGAAGAACCCAATTTCCTTTGTTAGAAGTCAAGTGCTGATAAGTGCTTTATTTCCAGCATACTAAACGATTTATAATGCGTACATATGTATAATAAGTATATAGATTATTGTCAAGCAAAGATAACAGTACTTATGGCAAAAACATACAATTCTGCTCCACTTCCTGCTTACGCATATAATTTAAGTGCATGTTCAATGAAACCATGCACCTTGCTTATGTCTGTGTAAACGCTCGGATATTCGACACGCCCACAACCCATACCCCACGAAACAATGCCAGCCTGTTTACCGTTGCATATCATCGGACCGCCAGAATCACCCGAACACGAATCCTTTCTGCCCGGTTCCGAAGCGCACATCATATATTGTGTAATAGCGCCGATACCGCGATATTTGTGCTGACAAACTTTCCGGCTCACGACAGGTACATGGATCTCTTGCAATTGGTTTGAGACGACGCCGTTTTCTTTGGTGTAACCATGACCAATAACCAAGCAACTCGTACCGACAGCCACCGCGGTCTTATGCAATGTTATCACCGATGCACTCGGTATGGCAGAGGAGAGTATCAACACCGCTACATCATAATTTTTTGTCTCCTTATCGTATTCTTTTGGAACCAGCGCGTACTTGATCGTTCTAACCACTCCATTGTCGTCCAAATTAATGGTGTCCGCGTGTATGCTCAGCTCCTCCACACTGAAGTCTTCCACACAGTGCGCAGCCGTGAGTACAGCATTGTTTCGCACCAACGAACCGCCGCACTTGAACTCTCCCCGATAGTGCAGACGCACATAATAAGGATATTTCTGTTGAATCACCGCACCCCCGCCAACAATACTCTTGAACACTTGTTTCCCATAAATATGGCCAATTGCAAAATATAATATTAATTGCAAAACTAATTGTCGACTGAATTGACACATAGTAAGTCACTGGCACAACTGAATGCGTTCCCGTGTGCGCCTAGTGCTTTTATAGATATACACATCTATATATGTACATCCGTAGGGTTTATCGAAATCGACGTTTCGGATTTGGAGTGCATCGCTCAGTTTTTCAGTTGGTGACTCCATATTTCGTGCGAAATTTACAAAACTTTCATTTATAGACTAATTTCTCGATACTCATACAAAATTCTTAGTAGTGCTAAGCAATATTTTAACATATTATATAACATTATTTATCCATATGCATGGAGATATTGTTTATACTCATTTTAATTGGAAATATAATTTATAGTCACTCGTTTTTATTAGAAGTAACATTGTTAAACAAAGAAAGATGAATTTCAGTGAATTTCTTTTATTTGCCTATTATCAATGACAGCACCCCATTTCCTCTTAATTGTTAGCATATAAATAATGTCAACAACAAGATTAAAAAGTAACTAAAACAAGTACGAAAATGCTAAGTTCGGGTGCAACCGAACATATTATACTCTTGCAACTTACAAGCATCAAAGTCAGGGACACACTTTATGTTGTAAAACATCAATCTGGGGATCGAAATCCAAGTATGCTTCACACTGGCTCCCATAAAACCTTCATAGACTATCTTGGAGGTAACTTTTAACATCTCTGGCGTATTTAATCATTGATTTATCTCGCTTTTAGTAGTTTTTAACCGCACCGTTATATTGGGAGTGACCGGGTTTTCTTCCGATTTCATCCATTTTCACATTGTCGCTACGAGTTCTTATAATATGTATATGCTCGTATAATTTTGTTGTTGTAGCTTTAATAGTTTAGATGATTATGCCCAATAACGTTTTTATATCTTAATTTAGTTTTTAGTTATGACACTAAAGCTGATGAGCTAGTAAGGAAAGACACCCTAGAACCGCTATCGGTAGTACGGGAACGGGCCGGTGCTCCCGTAAAGAGATGGACTTCGCGGAAGCTTCGCCAGCGCTGGGCTACCGTACGCTGTCGTAAAAGTCATTTGGCCGAAGATCGTTCGCAAGAGTTCTAATGACCATAATGGCCATTGTCTGATTGACGTCCACGCAGTAACCCTGGGAATCCAGAAGCTGTATGGAAGGAGATGAGGTGGAAATAGCACTTCCTTCGTGACTGTCCCGTGTTTGGGAAGCCAAGACTTAAAAACTTGGGAGTGCTACCTTCAGACATCGCACCGAACTGGCGGGAGAATAGGCGCTTAATTTGCCTATGCAAATTTGTATTGGTCACTAAGAGTTTTGCTAATTTATAAGTTCAAACGCAGGAGTTCTTCTTTTCTATGGCCTCACAAAGTACTATATATAGTAGTGCACGTGCGAATTGAGGAGCAATTCAAACCTAACCTATGAAATTTTATAAGTTTTCGATTAAAGACAATTTTTGGCGTGGCACTGGTCCGATTATAATTTTTTTTTTAATAATTTTTCATAAGAAACCTGCATACCAAGTTTCATCGAGATATCACAATTTTTACTCAAGTTGAAGACTCAACGGACGGACTGACGAACGGACCCGGATTTCAACGCTTAGTTTTAGGTGTATTCGGCGATTTTTACGATGAGAGAAATTATCCAAAAAAGAAGTTCCACTAAATTTTGTGTGCGGAATCAAGTATCTGGTGCTAAAACATCCGGAATGTTAGAAAAATGATAATTGCTTGTCTCGAGCAGGTTTTTCGATTCTTTCAAATTATTCAAGGGGGATCGAGAATGCGTTGACGACGAACCACGTCTAGATTGGTTATCAACATCAACTGAAGATCAATACGTCAATAAAATAAAGGAATTGGAGTTAGAGAATCGCCAATTTAAAGTCAGAGATCTTACTGGCATCGTTGGAATGATGAGTGATGATAAGAAAAATAAAAGCATGATTGGTTCCAAAATCACCAAGTTTTTTTCGAAAAACCGCATCGCGTTAACGTCTGTGAAATAACGCTTTCCGCCTACCAGGATGTCAAAACACTTCATTGTTGGCGAAGAGTCTCGGATCCATGCGTACGGTACAGACACAGTTGACAGTAAATAGGACTTTTAGAATATAGCTCCCCCTGGTGGCGCCATCTATGTGTCGACTGGTGCGTTAGAATCTGCTATCATTATCTATTGTCCAGTGAGACATGACATTTCATAGATTGGAAGTGAAGTTATTGCGTTTTAAGGGGGGTGTTTTCTGAAAATTTCACGTTGATTCGATAATTAGTTTTTGAGTTATTCGACAGATAACAAAGAGAGCTCGGGCATTTCAAAGCGCTTATGTGAAACTTTAAACGCGTTTTTCTCAAAACTATGTGTTTAGACTTGTGACAACTGTTACTCGAAAACCGCTCAGTAGATTTTAATGAAATACAGCTTTTAGAATACATAATAAACTCGGTCCTGATCGAAGGATTTTTACTTTTTCAAAAATTTCGATTTTTTAAGACCAATGGACTCTTGATTTTTTCCCAAAAATTTAGAAAACAATTTTATAAGGCCGCCATTTTTTAATTTTTGAAAAAAAAAAAAATCCTTCGATCAGGCCCGCCATTATTTATTTGTAAAACTCATTTTTTTTGTCCGAATGATTTTAGATAAATCGAAATAAAATTTTTTTTCTTTTGAAATTTTCATGACTTCTATAATAATGACATATGACTACTTTTGTAAAATAACACGATTTAATAGAAATAAAAAAAGGATACTGAAAATTTTATTTTTTTTCGTATCTCTGACTACTCCTAACCCCTTAAGTGTCAGTATGCTTGTGTTATTGCTGCGAAAATGAGCTTCGAACAATGAAGTTTATGATGATGATTGCCTATCCCGAGTAGAGTGCACAAGTGGTTTCAACGTTATGTCAAAGTGGTCGTAAGGACATTAATGACGATCAAACTGTGCGTGAATTCATCAAAAATCAGCCGAAATCATCATTGAAATTCATGGA